AGCATCCACATCCACTCTCACAGGTACAGTGCATGTGGGTCCATGGTGATATAATCCATGCAGCATTCACAAAAACTCTCACAGGTACAGTGCATGTGGGCCCAGGTGATATAAACCATGCAGCATCCACATACACTCTCACTGGTACAGTGCATGTGGGTCCAGGTGATATCCTGGACGATCAGAGGAGGTGTTATAGCGAGAGTACGAGGAAAAACAAACGGGATGTCTACGCTCAACAGGGTTGTGGGGTTAGGGTATAGGACCCATAAGCTATGGTACATACTGACACAGGAAAAGTATACACAGCACGATTTACAAGACATGTCACCAGCCATCGTATTAAGCTATGTTACATACTGCCACACCAAAACTACTCACGTAGCACGAGTTATAAGGTATGTCACCAGCCATTGCATCTTGGCGTTCATATCAACCGTAGGCATTTGCACATGACACACCTTGCTGCTGGGATCAATGATCGGAGTGTCGCAGCCAATGAGATCGTCGGACTGCCAGGGGTTGAAGAGTGCGATGGTGTATGCTGCCTCACTCGGGTTGCGCACACCCCACAAGTCCATGTGCACACTGGCCGTGGGCAACGGTACATCCAGCGACAGCGTGTGTGCATAGGTGGTTGCCATGGCAACCTCGCTGTCCACATCACGCATGTCCATACGGCGTACACGTAAATGCTTCTGGCTGGGCGCGCACGCATCGCACATGGGCAGGTGGTGACTGTCTGCTAGACCACCGCAACATTAACAGCACAGAAGTGAGTCATCAATGAGTCCTCGGTCAAAAATCAATGCGTCATCCATACACTTGCTGTAAGCCATCAGTGACCGACGCATGAGTCACCAGTGAGCCATTGTTAGCCAATCGATAAGTTGTGCGTGCGTCATAAGGGACTAATCAGTGAGTCGTAAACGGTCACGGGTACACAATCAGTGCGGCACTGTTGAGGTTTGGCTAAGAGGCGATGGTTCAATCACCACCAACTGTTCTATTTGTTGCTTAGCTGCTCAACAAATATCGCACAGCGCACTGTAAGATTCACGCACAACACATGACATGCACCATTTGAATTGGCATGGGGTTGTTGAGACATGGTGCGTATGTGGTGAAGATATGTGTTTGTGCACACAGCGTATATGTAGTGTGGTTGTTTGTTGATGACACACACACATTGTCTATACAGTGTGGTTGTGTGATGATAGCACACATACATATTTCCCATGTAGTGTGGTTGAATGTTGTGACACGTGTGTGGTTGACGTCTGCCCCCAGTGGTTATGCAGAGTGGTTGTATTGACATAGAGTGGCTGTGTAGTGTGTTGTTATTGCCATACCTTGTGGTCTCCTGGGTAGTTGTTCGCACTCGCTGTCGTCGTCTGAGTCTTCGTCCGAGTATGCGCTGTCGCCTCCATTGCCGTCTGTGGACAGAGTGCTGTGCATTGTGGTGTTGTGTGGTGTTGTGTGCCCGGCACTCTTCACGGTGATGTGCAGGCTGCCACAGAAGCGATCCCTGCGGATAACAACAAAAGCCCACAGGGGTGGTTAGACACTTGTGTTGGATGGGCATAGGATGGTAATTCTAGGTAGGTGAGTGATTGCATGCGGATGTAGCCTTGAGACAGGGGTGGCTAGACACTTGGGTTGGATGGGCATAGGATGGTAACGCTAGGTAGGTGAGTAATTGCATGCAGATATGACCTTGAGCGAATACACGACACCCCAACTCACACAATCTGCGGATGCGATGTGTTCTAAGGCCTATGAGGCAATTGGCACGTACTAACTAACGCTATCACCAGTGGTGTTTGTACGCCGGTCCCCTTGCCAGTATCATTCCCCCTATCGCAACTACCAAAGCCGCTTATGTCTACTATTTCTTCAACAACACTGCCAGCACCAGTATCAACCGTCCAGCGAGGGACTGGCCAGTGCCACGAAGACGACAAACTATGGTCCCGTTTAGCCTACTGGCGTTGCATAGACTCTGTGGCATGACACACATGTGTAGCAGTGGCATGTGCACCTCTACAATAGGGCAGACGCTCTCGTGTGGGTGTGGTGTGGTGTGGTGCACATCTCTTGGATGTGTCACATAACACATACCGCGTGGTGGGGTGCTCTGGTTCTGCTGCGGCTGATGCCTGTGGTGAATGCCCCTGTCCCGTCTTTGGCGCAAGGGACTGCAGTGTGGAGTCATCTCCACTGTCTGCTTGTGCCACGGTGGTTGGTGTGTTATCTGATACGGCCTGCGGTATAATTTCTCTGCGATCTGATTGGTCCAGAGACGCATCGCCTGATTCTGGTTGGTTGGTTTCCGTACGGAATTCATGAAGTGTTTTGAGCACGCCCTCTCTCAGCGCCTGTCGCCACTGCACATACTCTGTTTGGGTTTCAAAATCGGATTCTTCGTAGCGTGGTTGGCTGTCGAGTAAGTCGAGTCTGTGCTCCATTTCATGCTCCACCGACTGACCGTTAATGCGAATAGAAGCATTCATCAGTTACACACAGGCACGAAAATAGATGCAATTGTGTACTAGTCATACACGTACATGTGTATTTATGTATATATGTATGTATGTATG